AATGGTTTCAGTCTCTCTCCATTGAGGGTAATGTTGGCTGTTGGTTTTGCATAAATGCCCTTTATTATGTTGAGGAATGTCCCTTCTATTCCTAGTTCGCTGCGAGTTTTGATCAGAAATGGGTGTTGGATTTGGGTTATTATCTTTTTAATAATAACCATTTGCTTAGTGTATGTGCTGCCGAAATGAGCACATAAAAACCATTTTTAATAACCATTTGATTCACGAGATACTAGCAAAACAGTCAGATATTTCCTCCCTCTGATATCTGAGAACATTTACAGTCTTCACCAGCTTGATGTTCTAAGATGTCTGGGGATTCTTCTCTGATTGTTTTAGATCCACTGCTGATGAAGTTGATACCTTTACTTTTTAATACTGTTATTAGTAACTCTATTTCTCTTCTGGGCCTCATTTCTTTGGTAAAATGTTTTACTGTGATTTTGTTATGTGTGCAACTGTATTTACCAAATTAAAACTGTAAACCTAGTGAAGGATCCTATTATTTTTAGAGTATATTGCTAAGAATTAATAAAAGCACTATCAGGCCACATTAGGTGGATATTTACAGAAAAGGAGAAAAATGTGGACAGATTTGAATTCTTAAAAAGTCCAGATTTACTGGACCAGTTGAGATTAGAGGACTCCCCAAGACTATCATCCTAAGATAAACTTTAAACCTTCCCTAAAAGAAGACATAGGGCCATAGAATCTATTCCAACTCACAGTGAACCAGTAGGACACCGTAGAACTAACTGCCCCTTGTGTTTCCAAGGCTGTTATCTTTACTGAAGCAGACACCACAACTTTCTCTGTGAAGCAGTTGGTGGGTCTGAATCACAAACCTTTTGGTTAGCAGCCGAGTGCTTCATCACTGTGCCACTGGGACTCCTTACTCTAAATCTTATATCAAAGTTATCCTTTGAGGTCACCTGTTAGTAATAGCAGACTGAACCATAAAATAAAGATATCAGTCGTGAGTTATGAGATTCTTAAAAAAAATCAACTACAGGAGACCAAATGGTCAAAAATTTCTCTAAAGCAAAGATGGGGATG